TTTTTTTTTTTTTTTTTTTTTTTTTTTTTTTTTTTTTTTTTTTTTTTTTTTTTTTTTTTTTTTTTTGTCGGCTCAAAAACAACGCAAAATTTTACTTACTCTTAAAATTATTGCAAAAAATTAATAATATTTGATATTTATGAGAGGTTAGAAATGGGTTATAAATTGACAGCAGAAATTCAAAACCCTTATCTTCTCCAATCTCCATTGCTCAATTTTCCTCTCAGACCCCTTCGTTGTATTTGCTGTTTTCCTTGTTGCTAAACGTTGATCTGACTTCTGATTCCTGTACAGTTCTAGGGCTTAGTTCATTCGAAATTTGGGATCGCAATGATTACCTCGTCGCCGGCTAATTCTTCCATTTCTACCACACCGGTTGCCGGAAGATGTACCACTAATGCCGCAATGTCTCTTGACGATTTTCGCTTCCCCGCCAATTTAGTTTCCCTACAAGAGCGCAAGGACGAGGCCATGAGCGGTTAGTTTCCTTTTGATCCACCTTCTTATCTCTTGGTTGTTCCAGCGATGTTCTTAAACTTCGGCATCTAATTCTGATTTTCCTGCTTCCTTAGGTATAAAATTTCTTTCAAGATCGTGTGTTTGTTTAATGGTTACTTCAACTCCAAAACAATCTTGTTGATGTTTCTACTTTTGTTCTTGTAAATCAGTTCGTGTTGTTTTGTGCCATTTAGATTTCTTTAGGCCTTGATTTGATTGCTGGGGAACTGATTAACTGACGAAAATGCTATGTTCTTCCACCAGTATACGACGAGAAACATGTAGTCGTCGGTGGACATAGATATACATACTAACTAAAAATTTAAGGGATGGGGAAATAAGAACAAGGCTAGAAAATTTGAAAATACTTTTTTGAGTTTACGACATGGTAAGAGGTGTTGGATGATGAAAGTCCCACATCGGCTAATTTAGGAAATGATCATGGGTTTATAATCAAGAAATACTCTCTCCATTGGTATGAGACCATTTGGGGAAGCCCAAAGCAACGCCATGAGAGCTTATGCTCAAAGTGGACAATATCATACCATTGTGGAGAGTCATGTTCATCTAACAAGAGGATCCAATTTCGTTCTTAGCCTCTGGCTTACTCTGTCATGAATGATGCGGCTTCTAACTAGAATTTCAGAGAAGTGAGTGAATTTTTTAGTTGGTACTTGGTCGTTTAAAACATCATTGAAGACCAAAATCTAACTAGTCTTTAATGTAGTGAGTAACCAGATTGTTGTTGAGGATTCTTGGGAGAGGAGTCCCACATCGGCTAATTAAAGGGTTGATCGTGGGTTTATAAGTAAGAAATACTATCACCATTGATATGAGGCCTTTTGGGGAAGCCCAAAGCAAAGCCACGAGAGCTTATGCTCAAAGTGGACAATATCATACCATTGTGAAGAGTCGTTATTCCTAACAATGGTCTCCCTCCCCCGGACAAAAGTAAATGATTTTATGTGCCCTAATGGAGTTTTTCTTTTATAAATTTCACCTTCATTTAGTATGCAGTAGCGTGAATTTACATAAAGAGTTAAGAGGGAGATGATCCGTTCTTATTCTTTCTCAATTTGTGAAACATTTCCAGGTAAAATATAATATAGATCTTCTGTTGAAATGTTTTGATGTTTCCCACTTGTGTTATATTTGGGCGTTTGTTGATTAAGAGGGGTAGTGGATAAGAATTTTAATTGAACATTATAATGTCTTTTTGCTATGCATTTTGGTTAATGAATGAAGCACTTCCTCTTGTAGTGAGTAAGGTTTGAATTTTCTGTGCGTTGCAGCTCTTAAATCTAATATAATGGCTGCACTGAACAAGGAGGTCAAATCCCTGGATGATGATAACTGGATGTTTGAAGGTCCTCGCTCTCGTATCAACCTTACGTCACGACAAGGTCAACTATTCAACTAGATCTGACTTCCTCATTCTGCATTCTGCACTCTTATTTAACCTTCCTCCCCCTTGTTTGTCCACCGATGTATGTGATGCATACCGATGTAACAGTATAACCCTTGTATGCATCTTGACATGTGTGAGCATAGTCTGTCCTTTGAATTACATATGAAAAGAAGCAAATGCATATGCTTTAAGATCTCACATTGGTGGAGGAGAACGAAGCATTCTTTATAAAGGTGTGGAAACCTCTCCCTAGTGGACACATTTTAAAAACTTTCAGGGGAAGCCGGTAAGGGAAAGCCCAAAGAGGACAATATTGGCTAGTGGTGGGCTTGGGCTGTTACAAATAGTATAAGAGCCAGACATCAGATGATATGTCAGTGAGGAGATTGAGCCCTGAAGGGGGTGGACATGAGGCGGTGTGCTAGCAAGGACACTAAGTCCCGAAAGGTGGTAAATTGGGGGGTTCCACATCGATTGGAGAAGGGAACGAGTGCCTGTGAGAACGTTAGGTCTAGAAGGGGGTGGATTGTAAGATCCCACATCGGTTGGAGATGAGAACGAAACATTTTTTATAAGGGTGTGAAAATCTCTCCTGAGTGGACTTAGCATTCTTTATAAGGGTGTGGAAATCTCTCCTTAGTGGACTTGTTTTAAAAAGCTTGAGGGGAAACCCGAAAGGGAAGCCTAAAGAGGAAAATATTTGCTAGCGGTGAGCTTGGGCTGTTACAAATAGTATCAGAGCCAGACACCGAACGATGTGCCAGCGAGGAGGTTGAGCCTCGAAGGGGGGGTGTATACAAGGCAGTGTGCCAGTAAGGACGTTGGACCCCAAAGGGGGTGGATTGTAAGATCTCACATCAGTTGGAGAGAAGAACGAAACATTCTTTATAAGGGTGTAAGAACTTCTCTCTAGTGGACGCGTTTTCAAAACCTTAAGGGGGAAAGTCCAAAGAGGACAATATCTGCTAGCGGTGAGCTTGAGCTGTTACACATGCACATGCTATTGACTTGGAATGATTTGAGATCTTTCCTCGATGTTGTGTGTAAGAGTGTGTGCATTGACTTGGAATGATTTGAGATCTTTCCTCGATCTTGTGTGTAAGAGCTCTAGTGATGGATGTTTAGTTTTCAGTTGTTGATTACTTCTACTTTCCTTTGCAACCAGTTGAATGCAGCAATTGAGTTCAATGTTGTTTATGCAACTATTGCCATATATGCTTGACTACTCTACTTTTGCGCTTTCAAGGTGCTAATTGCCATGCAATTCCATATCAGGTGGTCATTTCCTCAAAAAGACTGAAGAGAAAACAAGATAATGGGCCAGCTTGATCATAATCTCAGTAGAGTTCTTCGGCCTCATTCCCACAATCCAATCAAGTAATCCTTCTATTCTATTTGTAATTTTTCTTTAGCTGTTAAAGGGTTTGCAAATGCTTGTCCAAATCAAACCTTGCTTGACATGTTAGGCCGTTTTTCTAATTATTTTTAAAAAGTTTATAGATCGAAAACATATATTTTGAAAGTTTAGAGGTTCGACAAAAAAGGTTGATATCTTGGTCGACTGCACATAAAATCGAGGTTTGAACACAAATTGAGGCACAAACCTCCTCCTCTGGTTTTCCATTCGAATATGTGATGTATTTATATGAAGAGTTCGACCTATGACGCTTGAGTCGAGGTTTTGAGCTTTAAATTAAATTAACCCTATAATCCTTTGAGTGCCTTTGAATTTATCCAATTTCGATTATACCTCTTAGTCTCTAAGTCGGAATAATAATCTTAAAAGCTAAAAAACTAGACTCATAAAGAATCAAATTAAAACAACTATATTATCTCTTTCATCTTATATCAGATTTCACCTAATACGTCATATTTTGAAAATAAATTTTCTTATAGAACTAAATAATTTAGCTTTCATGTCCGAGTGTTAAAGATTTAGAGAGAAAAATGTCGTGACACGAAAGAAGTGAAATTTCTTAAGGAAAAATATTAGGTCGGTTCTTTAAAATAAAATTTTCAAAAAAAATAAAAAGGGTAAAAATGAAGAAAACAAAACTTGCCGAACACAAATTGGAGGACCCAATTATCATCTTGGCTTCCTTGTGTGTATTAACCATTCTTTCTTCCATGAATTTAGCTTTTTCCATTTGTTGAATGGTTCAAATTTTATATCTAACATTATTTTGATATGCTTTTAGGTTTACCCATCATAAGTCAACTAAAACAAAACAAAACATTGAATACGTCATACAATATTTGATCTCAAAACCACAAGATGATGAGAAAAGTATTTCGTATATCATAAAATCAAAGAAAGTATTTCATATATCTCATAAAATCAAAGAACTTTCTTCATTTTAGAGACATGAGATCTTCAACATATCGATACAAAATTTTATGTGCCCACTAATAATTATTAGATATAAATTTGAAGTTCTTTTGTGGCGATTTAATCCAATAATTTCTTCTAGTAATTTTTTAAAAAAGATTAATTTTTTTTAGTGATATATACCAAACTCAAATTTGGCTCTTAATAGTCAAATTATATTATCAAAAGAAATTTAAAATATGGGATCGATTTCAATTATACCCAAAAATTTTAAAATATGAGATCAAAACTCGATCATAACAAAAATAAATAGAAAATATCGTAGAAACGAATAATAAAACGGGGCTAAGTCCCCATCTCCCAAAATTTCCAAAATTTCAATTTTTGAAAGGGTAGCCATCAAGAAAAATTGGTGAGGTATGAGATTAAATTAAACGGCACAGCAGATGCCACAAATTATAAATAGGCAATAGACGGAGGGCCTAAAGATAAATAGGCAATAGACGGAGGGCCTAAAGATAAATAGGTAATAGATAGAGGGCCTAAAAGTAAATTTGATAGGAAGAAAGAACCTGACTCCCGCAGCTACGCCAGTATTTTCCAACTGGCGTATTGGCCCTTCTCCCAATTCTGTAACGGTCCGATTCGGAAAATCGAAAATAGCAGTAAATATACTCCAGCTGGATTCCATTTTCATATCCGCCGCGCCGGCGCCGGCAGTTCACGTGAACTATCGGTGCTTCAGTAACTGGTTCTGTTTTCTGATCAACTATTCTTTGTTTAGATTAAGATTATAGTATCTAATCGGAAGTTACAGAAGTGCCGCCAGCGCAGAGGCGAACAAAAAAACTTGGAAAACTAAAAGAAAGTGGAATAAAAACGATTTAATCCGGCGGAGTATTTGATGTACAGAAGCACACGCGGCGGCGAGTGAAGCCGTACGGCGAAAACGAGGTCAGTGAGATTTTACCGGAAGTTCAGATGATCGGAAATGCGGAGTTTAGAAATCCGCGAGTTTCCTAGGAGAGCGAGATTTAAGAGAGGATGATTTTTCGATCTCTTCTAGTTTACGGAAACTCTGAATCGCCAGAATGTTGCCTTGCTTCGGCACAATAAGTTCGTCTCCATCGGCTTTGATTTCTGCTACTTAAAACACCAAATCCAAAGGTTCAATTTCAGAAACTACACAGAGAATGCCTCAATTAGCAAAATCCTCAACTACATTATACCTAATTGTTCAGAAGGACGCTTGAATCTATGAAACTGAGCCAAATCTGAAAAATCGAAACAGAATATCAACCTAGACGATCGATTAGATTGAAACAAACAGAATATCAACCTAGACGATCGATTAGATTGAAACTAGAGCGAAATAAGGAGCGATTGAAGGTACCTGACTGCGAAGGAGTGTGCGAGCAGATGTAAAGGATGAGGAAGCAGATAATGGTAAGGATAGGGATGGCGTGAACGAGGTTCTCCTGCCGCGGAGGAGAAGGCGATGGAAATGAGAATCGGAAAGATTTAGAGACTTTATCGTCGTCTTGTCCGTCGTAGATGACAATTGAGGAAGAAGATGGAGAGTGTTTCTTGCGCTTTTGATCGTCGGCCGGAAGTCCATCGGATTTGGCTCCGGCGCCATGGCCGTGGAGCTTGGAAACTGGTGAGCCTAGAGATTGCCTTTGCATTGTAGAGAGAGAGAGAGAGAGAGGTAGAGAGAGAAAGGCGATGTTTGCTTACTACCGTGATAACATTTTGTCTTTGTTTTCCATATTTTTTCCATTTGGCTCTCGTGATGTTTAATTTTAACGTGAGATTAGGTCCATATTTTATTTTTTAATTTTTTTTAAACTTTTAATAATTTAATATATATTTGAATTTTTTTTTAAAAAAATCTAAAAAATACATTTTGAATCGAAACTATTTTATTTAAAAAAAACTTTTGAATTTTTTTTTTATTAAAAAATATTATTATGAGTACTATTTTTTTAAAATATCTTAAAGTTTTTGAAAGTAACATTAATACTTTTTTACTTTATAAAAAAAAATAATTTTTTTTAAACGAAATTAGGTAATCATATTTTTTTAGAAATATTTGAAATATTTATATAGTTTTTTTAGAAAAATAAATAAATTTTATCTTAAAATGTTTAATTTCATTAATTTAAACCTCAAATTTAAATAAACTTATTTGTTATTTAAAAAAATTATAATAGACGCGTAAAAATATTTTTTTTTTTAATGCCCATTCTACTCGATCCATCGAATTTGAGTAGAAAGCAAGTTTATTTGAGATAAAAATTAATACGAAAATTACGTTCGAGAGCTATGTTTATGCTTTTCATGATAGTGGTCACTCGATCTAAAATGCCTTAGTGATTTTTTATATTTATTTTCAATAAATATAATTTATCGTAGAGTAATGTGCGAGAAATCTTTATAACAGTGACGGTATACAAAAATTTAACCGAGAATATAAATTGATATTTCAATTGAAAATTTGAAATTTAAGATAACAACGTTAAAATGGATAAAGCTAATAAAATTTAAAATAAAAAAGATTAAGATATTTCAATAAATAAGACATCAATTATCATTTTGAAAAGAGACCGTAGCTCAATAAATAAGACATCAATTATCATTTTAAATTCACTGAAATGAGCCTAGATTAACAATAATTAATATTTTTTTTTTTCTCAATATTGGATATTCAAATATCTAAACTCCCACTTATTGAATAAAATAATTATCGTTATATAAAATAAAAATAAAATTAAAAAAATGTCCTCCATATAATTAATTTTTTTAATTATTTTTATTGGGCTTTTATTTTAAAGCCCATTTTGACCAGGCTCAAGGCCCAAACCAGAATTTCAATAAAACCAAAGAAGAGAAAAGGAAGATAAACAGAGCGAGGGAAAATGGTGTTATGGGAGATTGCACTGGCAACAGCCTATTTCTTGGGACTCAAGCGAACATTTAAGCTCGTTTTGAAGACTCAGCGGCGTCTTGTTTCCCCTAACCACCCTCGGATTCGTCGATTTCTTCACCGGTATTGTCCCCTTCTTTCTTATGTTCTTCGTATTTTCTTAATCTGAATGCTTCTGAATGCTTCTGTGCATTGTCTCGTTCAGCGCCTTTATTTTCCCCTTGATTCTGTAGGATTTGAATTGAAGTCGTTATTTGATTAGTATGTGATGGATATCTCAATGTCTTGTTTCGATGATGAAAGTTCTTCGATAGCTTTTTGTTGAAAAAATCTGGAAGTTGAGGATGTTAGTGATATTGCATTAGACTTCCATAACTATTGATCTGGATTTTGGAATGTTCATTCACAAATCAAGGATATGTGTCCTTGTGAAACATGATTTTGGGCTTAATATGCTAAACTTTCCATCGTTAATACTCTATCTTCTTGCTTTGCACCTACAGAATCCAGCCCTTCGCATTAAACAAAATGTGAGATCCCACTTCGGTTGGGGGAGAATGAAGCATTCTTTATAAAGGTGTGGAAATCTCTCCCTAACAGACTTGTTTTAAAAATCTTGAAGGGAATCCCAAAAGGGAAGACCCAAAGAGGACAATATGTGCTAGCGGTGGGCTTAGGCTATTACAAATGGTATTAGAGCCAGACACCGGGCGATGTGCCAATGAGGAGGTTGAGCCTCGAAGGGGGATGGACACGAGGCGGTGTGCCAATAAGGACGTTCGGCCTCGAAGGGGGTGGGTTGGAGGATCCCACATCAATTGGAGAATAGAACGAGTACTAGCAAGGACGCTGGGCCCCGAAAGGGGTGGATTGTGTGATCCCACATCGATTGGGGAGGAGAACAAAACATTATTTATAAGGGTGTGGAAACCTCTCTCTAGCAAACACGTTTTAAAAACTTGAGGGGATGCCTGAAAGGGAAAGCCCAAAGAGGACAATATCTGCTAGCGGTGGGTTGAGCCCCAAAGGGGGTTGGACACAAGGCGTTGTGCCAATAAGGACGTTGGGTCCCGAAGGGAGTTGATTGGGGTCCCACATCAATTGGAGAATGGAAAGAGTGCCAGCGAGGACACTGGGCCCCAAAGAGGAGTGGATTGTGAGATCCCACATCGGTTGGGGAGGAGAACGAACAAAGCATTCTTTATAAGTGTGTGGAAACCTTTCTCTAGCAGATGCGTTTTAAAAAACTTGAAGGGAAGCTCGAAAGGGAAAGCCCAAAGAGAACAATATCTACTAGCGGTGGGTTTAGGCCGTTCACTAATTATTATATGTTTTCTTTATGGTTACTGGATTGAAGCCTTTACATTTGCATAGTAGCATTCTGGTGGAATAGTTGGACTTATTTATTGTACTGTATGGAAGATATACATGGTCTTAGATGTAGAAATTTTCACATGGGTCTTCATTTTCTCTGTAGAGTGTAGGTAATTGGGTGATTAAGTTCGTGAAGTTTCAACCTGATAACTGTTGACTGTTCGTACCTGATGTTAACAATTCACCTCCCTTGGGGGCCACATCCTCGCTGGCACACGGCCTGGTGCCTAGCTCTGATACCATTTGTAACAGCCCAAGTCCACCGCTAGCAGATATTGTCTTCTTTAGGCTTTTTCTTTTCGATTTTTCCTTAAGGTTTTAAAACGCATTTGTTAGGGAGAGATTTTCATATTCTTACAAGAAATGCTTCCTTCCACTCTCAAACCAACGTGGGATCTCACAATCTACCTCCCTTGAAGGGTCCAATGCCCTCGTCGGCACACCACCCAACGCTTGGCTCTAATGCCATTTGTAACAGTTCAAGCTCATCGTTATTGGATATCGTTTTCTTTGGGCTTTCCCTTTTGAATTTCTTCAAGGTTTTTTAATGTATCTGTTAGGGAGAGGTTTTCACACACTTATAATCTTCAACCGATGTGGAATCTCACACCTTCCCTACTCTCTAGAGGACTCTAAATATTTTAATTTGTTGCCTAACATAAAAGGGTTTGCTTCCCAAATTTTGGAGACGTCTTCAAACATGTCGAGTCCCTTCCACCGGGGCATATTTTGGGGTTGTTAGTGGTCTTCTTTTCCTTCACAGTTTTCTAATGCTAAATTTGTTATTTAGAACAATGTCTAGAATATGGAACAAATTGCTGCAGTGAATCCGATTCTTTCCTATTGAGTGATGCAATGCCAAGCATTTCACTTCTCACTTCTGTGAGATCCTACATTGGTTGGGGAGGAGAACGAAACACCCTTTATAAGGGTGTGGAAATCTTTCCCTAGCAGACGCGTTTTAAAAATCTTGAGGGGTAGCCCGAAAGGGAAAGCCCAAAGAGGACAATATGTGCTAGCGTTGGACAATGGGCTATTACAAATGGTATCAAAGCCAGGGCAGTGTGCCAGCGAGGACGCTGAGCCTCGAAGGGGGGTGTGGATTGTGAGATGTCACATCGATTTAAGAGGGGAACGAGTGCCAGCGAGGATGCTGGGTTTCGAAGGGGGTGGATTGTGAGATCCCACATCGATTGGAGAGCAGAATGAGTGCAAACGAGGCTGCTGGGCCTAGAAGGAGGTGGATTTTGAGATCCCACATCGATTGAAGAGTGGAACGAGTGCAAACGAGTATGCTGGGTTCAGAAGGGGGGTGGATTCTGAGAACCCACATCGTTTGGAAAGGGGAACGAAACATTTTTTATAAGGGTATGGAAACCCTCTCTAGTGGACGTGTTTTAAAAACCTTGAGAGGAACCCCAAAAGGAAAACCTCAGAGAGGACAATATTTGTTAGGGGTGAGTTTAGGTGGTTCTCTATAAACTCACCAAAACTCCCGGATTAATTCCTTTATCTTTGCTGCTAGTCTGAACTGGTTTTTTTTCTTTAACTGCTCGTATGCACGTTTTCCTTACTGCAGACGAACACGAGCCATATTCGACGTTACTCTGAAAGCTCACCGGACCATTCAGCATCGAGACATAAAAGTTGGTATGCATGTTAGCAGCTGGATTTCGCAATGGCTTAATCGAATGAAACCGTCTGCTGGGATTCATCAACATCCCAGTGGCACTAACACAGGCATGAAAATGATAAAGCAGGTTTCCAACTCGTACATGAAACATCGAGCCAGCACTCGAGCAGCGATCGGTCAGAAAGTCGATAAATATCTATCATTTACCTCATCAGTACACAGATGGCCTAAGGCATTCCCTACCATTGCAATGATCACGAGGCAACGAAAGCCTGCTGGGACTATGAATCAACACAGACAATTTAGCATTTGTAGCTCTGAAGGAATGAAAACAAATTACAGAAGAGGACGTTTCGAGCATGGTATTCGAGACGATATTAAGCAATGGATGATCAGATAGTATTCATTTTCTTCTTGTTTTAAAATGTTTGGAACATGCTCTTGGAAGCCATGCCTTTGCTTATGAATAAATCCCAAAGGTAGTGTTTACATTTTAGGCCGCTAGCAGATACATAGCAAGATATTACAATCTTCATATCATTATATCGAATTTTTGCATTTTTTTTCACGAATACATTAGAGTTGTGAGATCACATTCTTTATGGCCGTCGTAGTGTTCACACTACCTGTGTGGAGAGAAAATCCAAATTTTTACCGACTACAAGAGTTTAAAATAGTTCTCCACCCAAAAAAAGTTAAACAGGAGACAAAGAAGGTAGTTAAAATTGGCGAAAGATTATGAGTATATATCCAGTAACTTCTTAGAAAAGTAAACTTGGTCAGAAAGACGACTCATTCGTCAAAGATTTCGAGCAAGCCCATATAGTTGTAGTGACCGAGGGAGTCATAGCACAACTGGCTCGACTCACAATACAACTCACGCTTAAATAGAGAATCATTGACTCCCAACAAGAGGACTCTAACCTCGAGAAAATCCTTTTTCCTGATAATAGAAGAGCCTTTTTCCTGACCATAGAAGAACTTTTCCTAAAAGAGAAAGTTTAAGAGACAATATCTGCTTGCAGTTACAATAGTTCATCAATATTGAAACTAAGTTCACAATTTAAACATGCCGAGACTGACTAAGACATTATTCATCAAGAAATCTCGAGTTGGAATTTGGTAAGGATTTGTATAATTTATTTATATATATATTTATTTATTTATTTATTGTAGTTAAATTGATGGTTTTGTGTGATAAATTATTAATTATATTATTAAATACAAACTTTTAAGACATGAATTTTGCCATAAAGTTATAGGGTTTGTTGAGATTGGTTTAAAGTATAATATATTCCCATGAGATTGAATTTGGCATCAACCAATATAGTTTTCACATTCAATATACTTCATTTAAGTTCTGGATAATAATAATTAATAATAATAATAATAATTTTAAACTAAATAATTTATATCCAATTTCATTAATTGATTTTGTAAAAGTATTATAAATAAAATAAAAAGTCAACTCCCCTATAGTTGACTTCTTTAGGCTCTAAGGTGTTCCTTCCTTAACATACTTATGGTTCACTTAAAGATAAGATTTAATTTTTTTTTTTAAATGTAAATTAGAAACAAAACTTTAAAACCTTTTAATTATTTTTTAATCTTAACAAAAAAAAAAAAAAATGCGGGCAATGGTATTTTTTTCGTTCAAATACTCTATAACTTTTTAAATTTGTGTCTTATAGATTATTAAATTTAAATATATATATATATATTTTCGTGACTTTTCTAAAATATCAAATAGATTAATAACCTATTAGACATAAAAAAAAATTTATCTAAACTTTAAAAAAAAAATTTAGGGATATATTCCATATTTTTTAAAGTTTAAAACAAATATGACAATGATTAAACTATAATGCTTCTACTTGAGAGAGGAATGGACGTGAGATCTCATCATCCACCCGCTTGGGAGCCAGAGTACTCAATGACGCACTGTCCAGTGTCAGCTTTGATACCATTTGTAATAGTCAAAGCCCACTGCTAACATATATTGTTCGTTTTGGCCCGTTACGTATCGCCGTCAGTTCCACAGTTTTAAAACGTGTCTACTAGAAAGAAATTCCCACACCCTTTTAAAAAATGCGTCGTTCTCCTATCTAATCAGCGTAAGATCTCACATTATAAATTTGGCCTATATGGTTTTAAAAGTTAAAATTTGATCGTGATGATTTGATAAAACTCTTATAAATAGTCCCTACGATATGAATATATTCAATTTTATCCGAATGATTTGAATACCTATTCAAATCTTTTTTAAAAAATCATTAATCCAATAGATACAAACTTGAATATTGTCTTATTAAACGATAAATTCATTGATTTTTTAAAAATATAAATACTAAACATACTTTGAAACTGTCGGTATTTTTTAAAGTTGAAATACCTATTAAACACAAAATACAAAATTCGTGAAAATTTAGAGGCTAAACTCATAGCTTAATCGATAGTTTCTCAGTCGATAAACTAATTTGGTTTGGTTCTTGAATTGTCCTCGAGATTAGGGTTTTGTTCGAGTTTAAGGTGTAGTTTAATGAAACTAAAACTCGCCCGAGAAAAAAAGGATTAAAAAAATGTTGGAACAAAAATGAGATAAACAATGAGGTTTGTACCATAGAATTTAATGGCAAAGTTGAAGTGATAAATGATGGTAGCTTGAGTTGGTTTTTGACCAAATAGTAAATCCCATAAATTTGTATGCAGAAAATGGCGCGTTATAATTATTATTTCTGCTCACAGTTTTATTATTTTTTTTGTACCAAACCAATTTCTCCTCTGCACCATATTATTATTTGCTTTTCATAATTCATGGGTCCCCAATCACCATAATTCAAAATTTTGTGGCTCGGAACGTCTCCCGATTCGAGAAAATAGAGGGTTGTGTTCATACACAATAGATCAAGTCGATAGACACGTTGTCTACGTCATACAAGATTAGGGTAAAAATGTCTTTTTCTTTTTTTTTTTTTGTTCTTGATTCAACTTTTTCCAGTTCGAGAAAATTAGGGTTTGTGTTCGTAGAAAACGGATCGGGTCGGTAGGTCTGTTGCCTGCATCGTACAAAACTATGGTAGAAATGTTACGATTTTTTTGTCGTTGATTTAACTTTTCTAAGTTCGAGAAAATTGAAGTTTGTGTTTGTAGAAAACGGATCAAGTCGATAGGCCTATTGTGTGCATCATACAAAATTAGGGTAAAATGTTACTTTTTTTTTTTTTTTTCCTTGATTGAACTTTTTCGAGTTTGAGAAAATTGAAGTTTGTGTTTGTAGAAAACGGATCAGGTCGATAGGCCCGTTGCTTGCGTCATACAAAATGGTCTACTTGGAGCTCTCGATTCCGTGACCATCGTCCATTGCCCGTTGCTTGCGTCATGACGCAAGCAACAGATTTTGACTTCCATGACCATCGTCCTACTGTCTTAATCGACCAATACCGTTTGTGGGATCTAGGTTAGCGTGCAGTTAGGCATTGCAACCCGGCTTCCAGTTCATCTCGCATCGCCAGTTCTGCTTACCAAAAATGGTCCACTTGGAGCTCTCGATTCCGTGGCATGGCTCAACAAAGCAGCCATGTCGTTCTACCTATTTAAAGTTTGAGAATAGGTTGAGGGCGTTGCACCCCTGATGCCTCTAATCATTGGCTTTACCCAATAGAACTCGCACGCGAGCTCCAACTATCTTGAGGGAAACTTTGGAGGGAACTAGCTACTAGACTGTTCGATTAGTCTTTCGCCCATATACCCAAGTCAGACGAACGATTTGCACGTCAGTATCGTTGTGGGCCTCCACGAGAGTTTCCTCTGGCTTCGCCCCGCTCAGGCATAGTTCACCATCTTTCGGGTCTTGACAGGCATGCTCACACTCGAACCCTTCTCAAAAGATCAAGGTCGGTCGGTGGTGCAACACACAAAAGGATCCCATCAGTCAGCTTCCTTGTGCCTTAAGGTTTACTCGCCCGAACACGATCCTTTTGTATGTTAACTACATTATGTTCAAGGCTACATTAATAACCTTGGAATTTCATACGATTGATAATATTAAATTGTATACGTGCGAGATAGGAATCAAACCTTCACTCTTTCAGATGCTAATTAGTATTTTATTTACTCAGTTGTACTCTGATTATTTTTATTTTTTTTTTTTTGTAATTTTACAATTGTATGGTGGAGATCGAACCATCAACTTTCAAGATGATAACTAGTGTCGTATTCACTCAGCTGTATACTCGAATCGACAACAAAATATTAAATTTGTGTTTCTTTTTTTCTTTTTCGTATCGTAACCCTAATATTTTATGTTCGTTAAATAATTTTATGTTCGATCGACATTATACTCAATAATTAAAGTAAATAAAGCAATTGAGTTGCCCAATGAGGTATGGCCTTGAGGTGCCCCTATAAAATTAATATATGAATGTGATGCCATTATTGCATTTCCATACATGGCAACCATGCACACTTTATTATTATTACATCAAAATCTTTCATATCTTACCATTCCCATGAAACTCTTCTCTTTTCAACCCTTCATTCTTACGATATTCATTAAACCATCGTTTAGAACGGTTCGAACGATCTGAAAAATTCAATCAATGCAATTCAACAATCGTACCATTTGGGTTCAAATGAATTAAATTTTTATGGATTCGGTTTCAGCCTGACTCAACTCTACCCACGAACATCTCGACCATGTTTAGTGAGATTATTTAGGATACCATCTTGTTGTAAGTTCGAATATCACCTCCACATACACATGTGATATAACTTAGGGTTGTTTCTGCTTAGAATATTACATCACGTGTAGTAGTTAGAGTTCGGTTAGAATTATGTCGAGGGAGAATTATTTATTATTATTATTATTATTATTATTTTTGTTAGCTCGACCGGAAATAGAAACACTTAGACTCCCTAATTTTTTTTTTTATTAGAGTATACGTCTTTAACTAGTTTAATTAAGATAATTATTAATTAATATTATTTTTAATTTAGTTGATTATTAAGCAAAAAAAAGAAAAAAAAAAGATTGTTGATCTTTGTTGTTTTGGGCCCGCAGGATCCAAAACAATGGACGGTCCAGATCCTATTAACCTGTTGACTGGTGGATTAATTTCTACCCGTCAAAGCTTTTTAAAGTCAAAGCTATATTTTATCTCTCAATCCACAATCCGGTTACTTGCTATCTCGGTAAATGGTTAATTAACTCGAAAGCCTCCAATTCCAATACGAAATGGAAATTACACTTCACGAACCAATAACAGAGCGCGTGTAGTAAACACAGTCATACGGCGCGTTAAATACAGCAACGTAGAGGTTTGACTTTTCCGTAGTGTAGAGAGAGAAATTAAAATCCATTTAAAAATCGCCACGTGGAAGGTAATAGCCGTAGTAAGAAAGTTGGAGCCGATCCATTTCTGTGAACGTGCATTAAAAACTCGTCGTGGTGATTTTTTTTTTTGTTCAAAAATTAAATTACGAAATTTATTACGGAGAGAGAAAATGATTTTGCTCTGCTTTTGAAAAATCTCAAAATAAATAAATAAAATAAATAAATAAATTATATAAAAATGTTAAAATATTTTTTTTTTTATATTTTAGATTTTTATTCTATTTTATTATTGTACTTTTTGTTGTCTAATAAGAGTCCCTACACTTTCAATAATTTTAAAATATAGACCATAATATTAGTTTATTATTTTAATAATTTTTTTTATTTATAAAAACTATCTTTGAATAATAAAATTTAAAATTTACAATATATATATATATATATATATAAACTAACTTTGGGATTTTCGTTTAGAATTCTAAATATTTTTAATTTCCAAATGATATTAATTTTTTAGTTATTTTTTGAACCATTTATATAATTACCCCAAAAAAAAATGAAATTACACAAATTAAACAATTTTTTAAATTTTTTTTCGACTCTGACATCCCACCTCGATTGGGGAATACAACAAAACCACCACTTGACACAATCGCACTTTTAAAGGCAACGGACTAGCGATTGTGCGGCACTCACTTTCCAATGACAAGTGAGCTAAGCCAATTTGTACTTGCGTCGCCTACGGCCAAGCGACGTATGATCAAGCCTCTAGCCTCGGTTTTAAAAGAAGGTTTTGGTAAACGAGGGTAGAGAGAGATTTAGAAAGAGAGATTTTGGAAAGAGACGTTATATAAGCAAGCAAGAGAGAGATAACAACGGCTTAGCATATATAACCTTGGGTAGGAAGAAGTTGACAACTTTCTTTATAAGGATTGGAAACCCCCCTCTCTACCATATGCGTTTTAAAAAACTTGAGGGTAATGTTGAAAGCAAAAACTTAAAGAGATCAACTTCTCTCTATCCGATAGTTATATACTGTGAGTCGTTGTTGTTGCCTTTTTTATTGTATCATATATATATATATATATATATATATATATATATATATATATATATATATATATATATATATATATATATATAACATCAATTTCAATCTCTCAAATCTTGCTATCAAAACTATTTTTTGAAATCTCTCTCTCGTTTTCTAAAACTTTATTCTTGAACCGGGGCCAGAGGCTCGAGCATACGTTGCCTAGACATATGCGACTCAAGAACGAATTGGGTCAGAGTCTCAAGTATACGTTGCTTGGCTACCTATTTTCTAAAGCTTTATTCTTGAACTGGGTAAGAGGCTCGAACATACGTTGTTTGGCTACCCATTTTCTAAAACTTTCTTTTTGAACTGGGGTCAGAGGCTCGAACATACGTTGTTTAGCCACCCGCTTTCTAAAACTTTTTTCTTGAACCGGGGCCAGAGGCTCGAGCATACGTTGTTTGGCCATAGGCGATGCAATAACGCATTGGGTTACCTCACTTGTTATCGAGAAGTGAGTACCACACAATCGCAAGTCCGCTGCCATCAAAAAGTACAATTGTGAAGCGGTAGGCTTGAACCGTTACAATAACACAAGGAATAACTTTTTGGGACAACTTTTTCAAATTTGTGAGGCCTCAAGATTTACCAAACAAACAAAGCATAAAGCTCTCTCCTTTTTGCAATACGTGAGGTTTTTAGAGAGAGAGAGACAACAAAATTTGTCTTAGTTTTCCATTTGTGGGTCTGAATTTTAACACAACCTTCCTCCTCCTCCTCTTCTTCTTCATCCCAACCTCTTGCTCCGACCACCGCCTCAATCTCCGCCGCCAACCACCGCCAAAAGCAAGAACAATCTTCATTTGGTGGAATTTCCTTGGTGGGTTAGAAAAAACACTAAAGAAAACAGCTAAAGTTGGTAGCTTTATTACAATATCTTTGCATGCCAAGCTTCTAAACACAAAACTCCCTCTTTTCCCAACAGATCTTTGAATCAATTATGACCAAAACGTTCTAATAATCTCTTTTTCAGGTCAGTGTGGTGTAACTCCAAGAATGTATGGAGATTGCCAAGTGATATCAAGCAATATGGGAACAAACATAAACCCTAATTTCAATTTCATCTCCAATTTCCAACACTTTTCTTCCATATTGCCTGTAAGTTCTTAATTTTTTATTCTTCGTTCTTCATTTTTTTGGTTGAAATTATTATGGGTTTTGAATGTTTGCAGAAGGAGGAAAATGGGGTATTGAGAGGGAAAGAAGATATGGAAAGTGGGTCTGGAAGTGAGCAGCTTGTTGAAGAACATCAAGGAATAATTGAAATGGATAGCAATAATGATAATGTTCTTCACCAAAATTTGAAGAAGAAACGCTATCATAGGCATACTGCTCGTCAGATCCAAGAAATGGAGGCGTAAATTTCTTGGTTTTTGTTTTTTTTTCTGTGTTTTTTCCTTTGAAGATTTATGTTTCAAAAGGGTTTGATTTTGTTTGTTTGGTTTTGGTAGTTTGTTTAAGGAATGTCCACACCCTGATGACAAGCAGAGGCTTAAACTTAGCCAAGAACTCGGACTCAAACCTCGTCAAGTTAAGTTTTGGTTCCAAAATAGAAGAACCCAGATGAAGGTTTGTGTTTTTTTTTTTTTTGTTGTGTTCAAAAATTCGTTCTAAACTGACTCTAAACGTTGAGTTTTACAAACCCGTTTTATATTTCATCTTGATTTGGCTTTAAACCTCGCTAAGTGAAGTTTTGGCTCCAAAATCGAAGTACCCAGAAGAAGGTTTGTGTTTTTTTTTTTTAATTATTCAAAAAGTTGTTCTAAAACGGACTCTAAACTTCAAGTTTTACAAACCCTTTCTATATTTCACTTTGATTTGGCTTTCAACCTCGTCCAGTCAAGTTTTAGCTCCAAAATCGAAGAACCCAGATGAAGGTTCGTGTTTTTTAAGTATTTAGAGAGACATTCCAACCACTCTAAACGCCAAAATTTACAAACCCATTTTGTATTTCACCTCGATTTGGCCTCAAACCTCACCATGTTGGGCTCCAAAATCGAAGAACCCAGATGAAGGTTCGTATTTTTGAAGTATTTAAAAAGTCATTTCAAACCGACTCAAGAGAGTCAAATTTTACAAACCCATGATCGTGTTTTTTTAAGTATTCAGAAAGACATTCCAAACACTCTAAACGTCAAATTCTACAAACCCACTTTGTATTTTACCTTAACTTGGCCTCAAACTTCACCAAACTTAGTTTTTGTTCCAAAATCGACGAACCCAGATGAAGGTTCGGTTTTTTTAGTATTTAAAAAGTAATTCCAAGCCGATATTTCACCTTGATTCTTGAGAAAAAAAAAAAAAAAAGAAGAAGAAGAGTATTTTGCTGATTCCTTCCATTTAAGACCCTTGAAACCCTAAAACTGTGAACCCATAATGATCTTTACAAGCTACCATGGCTATCTTCTTTCTTTTAACAGTCTGTCCGCCATTAAAGTGACCTTGTGGTTGCAGTATTAAAAAGCCCTAACTACTCAAATGTCTGTGTTTCCCAATGGCATTACAAATTAAATGCTTTCCCTTTAACTTTTACCGCTGTTTTAAATCAGCTTAGTAAGTGAATTAGTGACGTAATTAGGGTTTCTTTTTGGTAATCAATTAATTAGAGACTTAATCTTGGTTTAATTTGTTTGACAGGCACAACACGACAGAGCTGATAATGTGATACTTCGAGCTGAAAATGAAACCTTAAAAAATGAGAATTATAGACTGCAAACTGCCCTAAGAAACATCATATGCCCTAGCTGTGGAGGGCAGGGTATCCTTGGGGAACCCAGCTTGGATGAACAGCAGCTTCGTCTCGAGAATGCTAGGCTTCGAGATCAGGTAAATCAATTAGGTCAAATTATAAGTTGATTCGTCTGTGAATCTTCGAGTTTGTGTCTCATGATTCGTCCTAAAATTTTAAAAAGTGTCTAATGAGACCTTAAAGTCCAAATTAAGGTGAGATTTGTGAATTTTCGAGTAACTTTTGAACTCTTTTATAGGTCAAATTATAAGTTCATCAGCTTGTGAATTTTCGAGTTTGTGTCTCGTGATTTGTCCTAAAATTTTAAAAAGTGTCTAATGAGACCTTAAAGGCCAAATCCAGGTGAGATTTGCGAATTTTCAAGCAACTTTTGAACACTTTTAATTAGGTCAAATTATAAGTTTATTAGTCCATGAATTTTCGAGTTTGTGCCTCGTGATTCGTCCTAAAAATTTAAAAAAGTGTCTAATAAGCCATTGATCTTGTAGATTTGTGTCTATTTGATATTTGAACTTTTAATTTTGTTGTTAACAGTTGGAACAAGTTTGCTCGTTGACCACAAGATACACTGGTCGCCCAATTGAAGGGATGCCCATGCAACCATCTTTGGATTTGGACATGAATATATACTCGAGGCAATACACGGAGGCCATGGTTTCGTCCTCCGACATGATGTCGATGCCCTCGATGCTCCCGCCTGAGGCTGCCCACTTCTCGAAGGGCGACCTATTAATTGATGAGGAAAAGACACTGGCAATGGACCTGGCTGTGTCGTCCATAGCTGAACTTGTTAAGATGTGTCGCTCGACTGAGCCTCTTTGGGTTCGAGATAGCGAGAGCGGTAAGGACATTCTAAATGTCGAAGAGCATGCTAGGATGTTTCCATGGCCATTGAACCTCAAGCAACACTTGATCAATGAGTTTAGGACCGAAGCCACTCGTGACAATGCCGTTGTTATAATGAATAGCATTAATCTTGTCGACGCCTTTCTTGATGCCGTAAGTTCCCATTTCTAAGCTTTTGTTTTGAAATTCAATAGCTATGCATCTAGCTCTCCGTTCCTCGTTCTACTATAGTTGGATTCCGTTATTCGTTGACCCGATCCAACTTGAAAATTTGACTAATCTTTTTGAATTGGGATTTTTTTTTAGAACAAATGGATGGAATTATTTCCTTCAATTGTGGCCAAAGCAAGAACTATTCAAGTCATTTCATCAAGTGTTTCAGGCCATGCCAGTGGTTCCCTTCAGCTGGTAATATAATCTAAACCCTAAATTTCCAATTCCATCTCTAAAACTAAGAATTTTTCTTCCTTTCCTTTAGATGTATGCAGAACTTCAAGCCCTTTCTCCGCTTGTTCCGACGAGAGAAGCTCACTTTCTCCGATGCTGCCAACAGAACATCGACGAAGGAAGCTGGGCCATCGTCGATTTCCCAATCGACACCTTTCACGACAGCCTTCAGCACTCGTTTCCGAGATACAGAAGAAAGCCCTCTGGTTGCATTATTCAAGACATGCCCAATGGATACTCTAGGGTAAACCCTCCAAACCTCTTCTTTTTAGAGTCTAAGTGCAAAATCTCGGGTTCAAAAAATTACCACTCAACTCAAAAATTCAACTCATGGGTTACGAAAAATTAGTTCAAATTCATTCAGGTGTGAAAACATCATCTAAATTGTTTCTGCTCTCCTCGAACATAGAATCATCAGAAGAGACTGGAACAGTGATATAGCAATTATATTATACGGTTGAACGTATGAGAGAAATTACAAAACATGTTTCGAACCGTACATTCAGATTACGATGGATGGAACGTGTCGAGTGATTATTAATATGTTTGTAGGTTACATGGGTGGAGCATGGAGAGATAGAAGAGAAGCCAATCCATCAAATACTCAATCACTTTGTGCATAGTGGAATGGCTTTTGGGGCACACCGTTGGTTGGCTATCTTACAAAGGCAATGTGAGAGAATTGCAAGCCTCATGGCTAGAAACATCTCTGATCTTGGAGGTTCTAACTCTATTTTATCTCTCTCTTTGAATTTGACCTAATTTTGTGTTAAATTTGTATATTATGGTTTCTTTTGGGATTTGTTTTCAGTAATACCTTCACCGGAAGCTAGACAAAACCTAATGAAACTAGCACAAAGAATGATCAGAACTTTCTCCGTCAACATAAGCACCTCCGGTGGCCAGTCGTGGACGGCGTTATCTGAATCTCCTGACGATACTGTTCGTATAACCACACGAAAAATTATCGAGCCTGGCCAACCTAATGGGGTTATTCTCAGCGCCGTCTCGACCACTTGGATTCCTTATCCTCATTATCGAGTCTTCGATCTTCTTCGAGACGAACGTCGACGATCTCAGGTATTTTGACCCAAATAATTCGTCGAGTCACTATATATTACAGTAGTCTCAGGTATTTTGACCTAAATAATTCATCGAGTCACTATAGATTACGGTTGTCTTAGGTATTTTGACCTAAATAATTCGTCGAGTCGCTATAGATTACGGTAGTCTCAGGTACTTTGACCTAAATAATTCGTCAAGTCGCTATAGATTACGGTAATCTCAGGTACTTTGACCTAAATATTTTGTCGAGTCGCTATAGATTACGGTAGTCTCATGTACTTTGACCTAAATAATTCGTTAAGTCACTATAGATTACGGTAGTCTTAGGTATTTTGACCTAAATAATTCGTCGAGTCGCTATAGATTACGGTAGTCTCTGGTATCTTGACCTAAATAATTTGTAGAGTCGCTATAGATTATGGTAGTCTTGGGTATTTTGACCTAAATATTTCATTGAGTCGCTGTAGATTTCGGTAGTCTCAGGTATTTTGACCTAAATAATTCGTTAACCCGCTATAGATTACGGTAAAATTATAAACGTTTTTGTCGTTTCAGCTAGAGGTTCTTTCAAATGGGAATTCGCTGCATGAAGTTGCTCACATTGCCAATGGCTCTCACCCTGGAAATTGCATCTCTCTTCTTCGTATTAATGTGAGTTTTTCTTATGAAACTTGAAAACCCTAATCTCTGATTTCATCTCTATTGAAACTATTTGAATGTTGCAGGTGGCTAGCAACTCGTCCCAGCACGTCGAGCTAATGCTGCAGGAGAGCTGCACGGACCAGTCCGGCAGCCTCGTCGTCTACACAACAATCGACGTCGATTCAATTCAATTAGCCATGAGTGGAGAAGACCCATCTTGCATTCCTCTCCTCCCCATAGGATTTTCCATTGTCCCTGTCGTCGGGTCTACCATTGACGGACATCCATCACCACCACAAGAAGACAGTGTAGCTAACTCCGGCTGCCTCCTTACCGTCGGCCTGCAAGTTCTAGCCAGCACTATTCCATCAGCAAAGCTCAACCTATCAAGCGTCACTGCCATCAACAACCACCTATGTAACACGGTGCACCAAATCAACGCCGCTCTCGGCAGCCCGGCTAATATCGAGAACGGTAATACCATTGCTGAGCCTAATAATGCACCGGCGCCGGCACCGGCGCCAACACCCAAGCAATAAGCCTTTGCATGGTAGGCAAAGAAACAAGTGAGCTGCCAATTACCCAAAATCTCCCTCCCTCATGCCACCCATGACGTAGATTCCAAGGGTATTTTCGGTAACATGAAAAAGATCTAGGGTTTTTGAGTGGGAGATTGTGGATAATTGGTAGAGAGAGAAGGTAAATTAGTTTAAAAAAAAAAGTGTAATTAATTAAAATTATAGGAGTAGTTTTTGGTGGGTAAATAAGAGAGAGAAATAGGGTAGATTTGATGTGTGGATGTGGATCAGGGTGTAGGGTTATTGTGGAAGTCAAGAACGCACCAGATAAAACCCTTGGTCCCTGACAAGGCTGTCAGAAAGTGGGGCCTTGTCCAGTCAGCAAGGGTGGTGGTTCGGGCATTGACTTCTTCTGCTTAAATTGTGTGTCAGTCAGACGGCGTCGTTTCAGTTGCTTTTCAATTCTTTTTTTTTATTTAGATGAATTATTATGACTCTGAATTTATTGCTTCCCATTAATTGCCTTTCCTCCTTTCTCTTTTCCAAAAAAAAAGAAAATATATTATTATTCAGCCACGTGGATGTCCAGTCATCCGTAGAGAGAAAGCCACGTCACCAATCTCTTAATAAGCTTATGATCGAGACCATATGAAAAATATATCTCAATTTACTCTTTAAATATTTAAAAATAAATACCAGTTTCATAATTTATTTTAAATTTTTTAAAATTTTAAAAACAATTAAAAATACTCTTATATTAAAAAAATTCATTAATACTCTTCCACATTAATTTTTTTTTTACATACGTACAAAATTTATAATAATGAATATCTTATTGATGGAAAAAGAAAAATGAAAACAAATTCTAATAGTTTTTAGTCCATCGGCTAACAAGGGTAACAAGGGTACTGTTGAATTTTTTTTAAAAAAAATTTGAAGTCGAGAGTCAGTTGAGACATGCACCGACCAAGTGCTAGATTGTGCACAACGCAAGTCCTTATAGGGACAACGAGGCAACCAAAATTGAGTGGGGGAGAGTCCGCGAGAATGAGTCGCTCACCTCGAGAAAGTGCTCTAAGAAGTGAGCACCAGTGAATTCCATGAGTCATCCCCTCTTGCCTAATGTATATGACTTCACAGGGTATTTTTGAAATAAAGAATGAGTAACGGTAGGGGTATTAATGAAAATTTAAAAAATTAAAAGGGCATTTTTGTAAATTTAAATGTGTTAGAATGATTAAATTGCAAAATAACATGGGGAATATCCAAAGGTGGGTCTTAATATTGTTGGGTTACATGTGGTAGGGAATGATTGATGTTTATCCATTTGAATGATTTTAAAGGCCATTGGTGGAGTGACACATCCCCTCAATTTAAGGGTAGTCAATGCTAGAAAGGGCAATATATTGCTAAATATATCCCTAAAAAAAGTATGAAAAACCAAATATTTTATCATAATTATAAATTATAGGTAAAAGATATGGTGGTCTCAATGCCATCCATGTGAACTTTCTTTTAACATGTTTTGTAATCAACAACGTAAGAAAGTTGAGGTGTTTGAAAAATTCGTTCATCTAAAAAATCTGATCGACTCAATCTAACTTTTACGGTTTGAGTTGGGTTCGACTAAGTTCAAATAAATGAAAACTTTACGATTTGAGTTGGGTTCGGTTGGGTTCAAATAAATGAAAGCTTTACGGTTTGAGTTGGGTTCGACTGGGTTCTCCTAATATTTCACATGGTTCTTAAATTTTTTTTCGAGAGATCATTCAACATAGAATTGCTTCAAACAAACATATTTAAGTTTGAAGTTCCTAGGATTGAACCACAGAAAAGGCATGTGCACCTTGTTGGTATTAGTAATAATTTTTTAATTCTTTTAGGTCTTTATTAACCATTATATCTTTAGGATCGCTCGCATTCGGATGCTCGGATGTGACATCATCTCGTCCAATCCTTTAAGTATTGAATTATGCATTTGTCAAACGAGAATCGAGTTTGTACAAACCTAAACTCTCTAATAGGGTTTGGATTGTGTTTGTGTAGAAACAAAGGGCTTCCGCTCCTTAGCTAGCTTCTAGGGTTCACAACTAATTCTCTCTTTTCTCGACGCCTTTTACCAACTTCTAAATTTCACTAGAAGACTTGTCAAGTATTTTTGCAGTATGAGTAGGTTCGGTTCAACCTCAATTTCATGTGTTACAAACTAATTCGATTAAGGAAGGACCATTTCGAACTTCGAAAAGTGAGCATTTGTACCGTATAAGTGGAGGATGGAGTTGCTATAAATAGCACTCGATCCATAATTTATTTGTAAATTTTATTTATTATTTTAATTCCATAACTTTGTGTAGTGGGCAAAATGGGTGAGAAGTTACTTGTCAAAATATCGGTAACTTATTTTGTAGGTGACATTTGAAGGGTAGGAGTGAGTAACTTATGAACCATGACCACCAACTTCTTTTAACAAGCATTTGAACCGTTAAAAGTTTATTTTGTGGAGAGACTATAAATACTAATAAATTAGTATGCAAAAAGGCATATTTTTTATGAATGAAATTGAGCTCTCTTATACTTTAAATTTGAGCATCATCTTCATTTCTAAGTTTCAAGCAATTCTTGTGGTAGATTACATCCGAGACGTTCAATCAAGCCTTGATTAAGTTCGATTGTGGAGCGACTCAATTTAAAATAAGGTTCCAAATCTTGCTTTGAGATCTTTGATCTTAAGAGGTAATCTGTAATCTAATTCTAGTATTATCTCTTTGATCCAAAATTTGTATAAAAAAATATTAATTTCTTTTATTAAAGAATTTTTGTTTCAACAAAAGTTTGGATCATTGAGCTGAGGATTAGAATTGTCTTATCAAAAGACGATCTAAAATATTCAAGAACCCCAAAATGATAAAAAATCACCCTGAAAGAAAGTAAGATTCAAATTATCTTGTTATCAAATATCTTAACGCAACAAAACTGGTTTGAAATTCGAATCACTCCACAACCAAGATTGGTTTGAATGATTCTAAATATGTGACCTAAACTATATACAATCGTAGTTTTAGGCTAAAATAAAGCACAAATGCTTTAAGTCTGTCTTACAAGACAACATACATGACTAGATATAGATCTTCCACGGGACAGTTCAAAGAGTTGTATCTTTCGTATTTTATGACTATAATTAACCGTTAATGAAAAGTAAATAAAAAATCTTAAAACTTAAATATATTAATGGAACACCATAAGTCGAGATCTTAATCATCCATCAACAAAATAACGTATACTCTAAATCAACATATGAAAGTATTGAGAGTTAGGACAAGACGTATGTTTTTTTTCTTTTATTTATTTAATTTTTTAGTTGAACGGCGTCCTAACTAAAAATTTGAACCTTCATTTGTAAGGAAAAAATAATTTAGGTATTTATCTATCGAAAAAAATTGAACTATATTCAAGTTGACAACTATCAGATCCCACATCGATTATAGAGAAGAACGAAACATTTCTTATAAACATATGTAAACATCTCTCTAATAGACGTGTTTTAAAATCATGAGACTGTCGTTTATATGTAACGGACTAAAACGATATATTTTTTGTTTAAATTTTAGTAAAGTCCCTATACGTAACCATTTTATATATCTTGATATATTCTTTAGCTTGAAGCTTGAAATCATGTTCTTATTAACATACAAGTGTGTATACTCAAGCTACGTTTCGAGTATGTTTGGTGTCACGATTGCAGTTTCGAGGCAATGAATTTAGCGATTGTACAACGCTTGCTCTAATCCAATGAACAAGTCAACGTGAAAATTAGACTTATAGACATTTCTAACTTATGGTCGAGTCTCGAGCCATGTTTTGAGAGAAAATATTTTAGAAAACATGATCAGGAAAATCGTTGAAAGTAAGCATTGTCAAAGTCAATTGTATTGAAAACATGCAGACAAAAAAAATTACAATACTTGGTCGGGGAAGGTTTGATGACTACTTGATTCCCTATAGTATATTTTGAGGCGATCAAGTCTGACAATCTTAGACATGATTTTGCCGAACGATCATACAAACAAAAAATAGAATAATAAAACAATACAACATGAAATAAAATAAATGTTCAACATGACATTTATATATTTTATGATAAATTTGTTGATTCTCACATATTCAGATTTTGAAATAAAATATTATATATTTTTAATAAATATAAAAAAATAGTAATATATATATATAGATTATATAGTATTTTAGGTTATAAATTTGTTAAATTAAATAATTTATTAGATAATAACATTATAAAAATAAAAATAAAAATTGTTTTGTATTTTTCTAATTAAATTTGTAATAAAAAGGAAAGAATTGTAAAATGTATTATTTTGTGGATAACGCCGGTCCTTAGTCGTTGGACAAAAAGGGTAAAAAAGTCAAGAGGTTTGCCACAGAAATAATGGCATTTATGTCAATTCGTACAGTTGCACCCACTGAATCTTCGCGGCGAGTAGAAACGTCACTGTACGCGCGCCCTCCCAAGATTCTCTTTCCGTGAATTCAGTAATTTCCGGGGCGCGACTTTCCCATTAATATATTTTCATATATTTTTTTTTAATATTATTTATGCTTCAATCACATTAATTAAAATTAAATTCGGCCGATTGAATTTAAATAAATTAAAAATTCACAATTATATATATATATATATATATAAATTTAATTGCATAATTATTTAAATTTTAATTTTTTTTAAAATTAAAATTTTATAAGTATTTTTTAAACCTACTGAAAATATTAAAAATTCAACTGCATTTTAAAAATAAAATAATAAATATTTTAATTAATTTTTTTAATTTAAAAATATTATTGAGAGTATTGCATTTTTTTTTTAAAAAAGTTACTATTTAAAATTTTTATTAATTTAACCGACAAATATATAGGATTAAACCTTTGAACTTAAATAATATATTTAGTTTTAACTTGTTTATTTTTCAAAATTTGGGTATAGTTAAAGAGATGAATAAATTGGAATATGATTACAATTATTAATTAAAAAATAAATTAAATGTTTATATAATTGTTTTCTAAAATCAGGAACCATCCTCCTGACCTCTATGCGTTTTAAGCTCGCTTTTAGTTCTGGTTCTTCCCGCCGGAAACTCGCTTTCCTCGCCGGATAACCGCTTAGACTCCGGTGAAGCTCTTCTCTCTTCCACAGGCCGCTCATCTTTCTCATTTTCTCTACTGTTTTCCTTGGATTGGTCGGAGAATGGATTTCGATCTCCAAGTATTTTTTCTAATGACTCGGTTTTGTGTCGTTTGTTGTGTTCTATGAGAATGTGGTCAGCCTGCTGCTCGTCGAAGGCTTGCTCCTGACTGTTCGTTGATAACTATGACCTAAGTTCATTTTATTTTAGATTTCTTTCCTTGTTCTGTTCTTTCTTTTCTTCTCCGGTTGTTTGTAGTTCGAGGAAGTGATCACTGAGGGAGGCGTGTAAGGAACGATTTCGGCATGAGATGGTACTAT